ATTTTAACCTTAGAGGTATATTTGCAGTTGGTATATGTGATCTTATCACTTCTTGAATAACATTAAACATATAAGGTATCAAGTCTGATTTGTTTGAAGATTTAGTATTTGTTTCACTTTACTTTCACGTTGTGAAGTGCGATGATCAAAATGAGATAGAGTGGAAATATTCCATGACAACTCCTGTCATTCTCTTGGAAAATACCTTTTCCTATCTCCCCCTAACGATGGGAAGACTGTTTCATCAAAGTGACAATCTACAAATCTTGTGGTAAATAGATCACCCATCAAGGGTTCTAAATAGCGGATAATTGTTGAGGATTCATATCCAACATATATACTTAATCATCTTTGAGGGCCCATTTTAGTACACTATGGGGGCGCAATTGGCACTTATATTGCTCAACCAAATATGTGTAAATGTGAAATATCAGGCTCATATTTAGTTACCAAATGGTACGCAGAAAATGGTTGGCTAGCAATGGGTCTAAAGCCAATAAGTAGTGTTGCATATAATATTGCATAACCCCATGCAGAAGTGGGTAAATTGGTGCGCATAACCAATGCCCTGGCTACCATTTGTATCCTTTTGATAGTATCTTCTGCAAGACCATTTTGTGTATGCACATGGGGTACAGGATGCTCTATATCAATCCCAATAGACATGCAATAATCATCAAATGCTTGTGATGTAAATTCTCCAGCATTATCAAGTCGTATAGACTTGATAGGATAATCGGGGTTGTGACCCCTCAAACATATAATTTATGCTAGAAGTTTTGCGAATGCAGTGTTTCACGTGGACAATAGTGCGACATGCGTCCATCGTGTCGATGCATCAACCAGAACCATAAAATAATTTAATAGCCCACATTCTGGATGTTTATGTTCATAAATATCACCTTGTATTTATTGTAAGAATGAAATATTTTTGTATTATATCATTAGCTTTTAGGATGGTCTCATTCCTATCTTTGCTAAGGATTAGGGTTTACAAAAGTTTGTAAGTATTCAAGAGAGCATATTATGATGGTATGTTGCCTTTTGTGTTGTAGAAGTCAACAATTGCAATTTTTGTTAATTGTTTCACTCTGCATCTCACTCGAAAGAAAATGTGTTGATATGTATTTTGCAACACACATATCATTATGTCATAACCATCTTGTTCCACATGATCATATTGAAACATATATGTGTTATTATCCCAAAGTTCTTTATTAGCTTTGCCCCGACATGTCTAGTGTTGTTATTCGAAAAAATTTCTTATGTCTCTTAACCACTTGCAGTAGGCTGATGAGTTTGCCTAAATGTTACATTCCAACTTATATTGGTTCATTAATATTTAATGATATATGAAAAAGTGGAAATAAAGTTATGAATCATGTCATCATAGTGAGTTCCTTACCACAAAGATTGAGATGCATTTTCAGACACAACATTTCTTTGTTGAAATCAGTCACCTTTTTGTAGTTGAGTGAGTTTTATTCCACTGTATGATTAGTTGGGGAAGTACATGGTATACTTCCGATTTTCCTTTTCAGGTCATCCTACGGTTCTTGTGGGATTCTAGTGAAGGATCTTTCCTATGAAGGTTGTGAATGATGTGTCGTCTCAAAAATCTCAAGGTATTCACTTGTACCTTAACAATTGATTTTTAAGGTCAATAGGTTTTGATGGATTTTATATATATTATTGTACCGATCCGACAAAAATAGACTTTACATTGAATTTTCATCTATAGTTTTCAAGTTTTTTTGGGTTTAGCACATCGAATCCTGAATGAGTTGTTTCAACTATTTAAGTAAATAAGAGACATATGATTTTTTGTATATAAGATAATAAATTATGATGCACATGAAATTTCATTATCATTACATTATTTAATTTGTTCAATATTAGTATTTCAATATCTAAAGTAAATCACTCAAACATTTTTGGATTTCCAAGTAAGAGGGGAATCACATGGATTACTTAAGTCCCTACAAACCTTAAGGATATTTACACCTGTTTGACAAAATTCTTTCAATATTTTGCGATATATTCAATTTTAAAGATAACCTTACTAATTATATAGCTTTTGGCATGACGCCGAAAAGAATATGAACTTGGCATATGAAGTCATCTTCAATGTATTTTAGTACCGTGATGATATTATGAGAGATTTTGTCATGAGACAAATAAATATTGGTTTTGACATAAAGTCAAATTAAACAATTTAACATCTTAATAGTATTTTGTAAACTTTTGGTAAAAGACCAAAATATATGGGAGCTAAAACTGTAACTTTCAAATATTAATTGAAAAATTGAAAAAAATAAGTAGGAACACATAATCAAGATAAACATTTGAATAATATTTTAATATTTTCATGCTAATTTTTGGAGCTTTTAACAAAAGACCAAAAGTTATGGAAGTTAGAAGTGTAACTTTCAAAACATATATTAATAAATTAAAAATTATAATTAAGATAAACATTAAACATGATAAAATAAAATAAAATAAAATATGATAAAATAAATCCATTCAAAAACTAGCACATGATTAAATTAATAATCATTTAAATAAAATAATCAAATACCCATATAATATCATTCAAATATGATTATCCATCTATAATATCGAATCAACATACCAAATAAGTTAATATAAAGATAATAATATATATGATTTTGAAGAATAATAAATCTTCATAAAAGTATATATATTATCACATATTTTGCGATCTTATAAACTAATAAACATATAAAAACAATACGTGAATTAGGTGGTAAATCATATATTGCATTTATACCATATAAAAAAATTTGTTCTTTAATGTGATTTTTGCACCCCCTAAAACATGGAGCGGCAAATACCATCACCAACAATAGAAAAACAAATAAAAAATTCACAACAAATTAATCACATAATTTTTCAAAGAAAGTAAACCTCGTAATTAAATTTTTTTTCGCATAAGCAACCATTTAATAAAAAAATTCAATATCATATCATGGATTCACAGGTTGTATCATCAAACATTATGCCACATATTTCATTTATCATATAATTAATAAACGTAAATTAAATGATTAAAGTTACCTCAAATCAATGTGTATGTCTATGAATCCTAACTTGCATCAATATTAAAATGCTTACTTGAATTTCAGTAGTCGTAGAAGAATTGATTGATGAAATGACAAATAGGCAATGAGCAACGTGTTGATAACATGTTACAGAATAACCGGAAGAAAACAATAATAGAATGGAGAGAATGAATCTATATTTCTCATTAATCATAGGTCCTTTCTATAAGGATAAGTTACAAGTAGATAACTACGAGATATTTCACTTCTAATTTAACTATAATATATCTATCTCTATCTCTATCATCATATTCTTTAAATGATGACACATTTATTCTACAACAAGCACCTATATCTTAAGGACCTTGTAGACATGCCCCACCCGCATTCACTTAGTTATATCAACCATAAAATTCACTCAAAACAATTTGTATTTCAATTGAAAAGATTGATAATATGATACAACAACTTACAATTTGTGTAACTAACTGCAGATCAACATAATCAAATACATGATAAACATTCATTTTAAATATAGAAAATCTAAAATATAATTAAGATAATCATTGAGTTTTAACAAAATGTTTAATTATTATCTTTATAAAAAATTACATTATTAAACCTATAAATTACTTTCTTATTAAATCTAAATTAAATTATAATAAAAAAATTGAATTAAAGAAATTACACCAAAAAAATGAAAATTACTAAATAGTTAATTTGATACAAATATCAATATATTTATTTTTAAATTTTTATGTTATCTTCAAATTTATATTTCATTCAAAAATAAAAATATTATCACTTTCTTAAAACCACGTAAAATCGTATTATATCGATACAGACAAAATAAAAATTAAATATTAAAATGAAGATTTATCTTGTTACATTGCACGAGTAACTTTCTAGTATTAAAAAATTAAAATACACAAATTATACAAAATCACAAGAATGTTACAATTTTTTTATGCCAATATGATATAATATTTTTTTGAGTTTTTTTGGATATTCAAATTAACCGTTACATAGTAATATTTTATTCAAATAGAAATTTAATTTTTTGAATAATTACAATAACTTTTTTTACCGTATTTGAACAACATATTAACAATTGTTTGAATAAAATATTATTGTCAAATTTTTAAAGTGAAATTACAATATTTTATCCTCTATTATATACACCGTCGTCTACAACAATAAAATACTGAGTTTATATCATTTCTTCTCGTTAAAATTTGTCGGTATTAGTCTGGACATTACCTAAGACATCCTTACCAAAAAAATCTTATATTTTGTTATATCATACAAATACGGGTGTGTAAAAAGCTATATTAAAAAAAAGCTCGTCATAATAGCTCTCATGGTGCACCGTATCTTGATGTTTGTGTCTCACACCACATTAAGCATGTGGCAGCCCATAACTGAATGCACGATTTTTGTAACGCAATATTTGATTTTTCTTACATTTTTTAAGTCTTATTTGTTAGTTTCTAACGTATTTAAATTATTTGATATTATTGACACATTGAGTGATAGTAGAACATATATGTTTATATATAAAGGTTTGCTGTTAAAGTCACACCTTGAAAAACGACGCGACTTGCTATGACTCATAAGGCTTGAGACTTGACATCACTTCCACGCCACGTGGTCACGCCATTTAGATACTAAACCGAGCAACCATAATTAAATATCCGATTGCAATTTGAGCATATCCAAATTGGATCATTTAATTTTTGGATAATCCAGAATCCATTAAAATCGAATAGATCCAATTTAATAACCATCCAATTTTCATTCAAGTACTTGTCCAATTATCATGAAATTACATTCAATTATTAACATTTTACGATATTATTTTTTACTTCATATTTGTATGTGGTGGGCTTTAATAAATAAATATATATAATTAAATGAAAATTGTATCAAAATATTAGATAAATCTAACATGATTGAACAGATAATCAATAGTATACAATGGGTAGAACCCATTTGATCCAATCATCTATCAGATGAAAGTCTAATGTCAATCGGATTGGAGTGGAGACAAAATCCAAGATCGATGATTTGATTGGATCAGATCTACGTACATATTTTGGATTTCAATTGATAAACACCCTTGTGACTGGTATTTTAATAAACAATACAAATGTTAGTGTGTGTGGTTGATATAAATCATGGATTTATCCAACATAATTACAAAAATTAACTATAAAGAGAAATTACTTCATGTATTCCCCCTTCTAAATTAGACTTCCTTTTCTTTAAATATGCATATATATTTTCACATATATATACACGTCATCATCAAACTTCTACGGTTGGTGGGGCCAAATTAAGATCAAGGTTAAGCTCTCTTTTCGAATAACTCGTATCACGTGGGATGTAATCCGCTGCATTCGACGAACCCGACTCGCTCGCCGCCCTACCACCATATCCACCGTTAAAATGTTGCTCCGTTTGATGAAACGGGTACGGGTGACCCCGGTTCATTGTCATCCCGGGTCGAACTCCAAAAGGCATTAGCGGCTGCGCGTGGGGAAGAAGCGCCACCGTCTGTTGGTTACCATTGACAAAAAACTGACACCCACCAACCGCCGTCGCCTCGCCGACGACGCACCGCATGAGATCGAGTTCCACCGGAGCGTTATGCTCGCTGTCACGGCTGGAAGACTCCACGGTGCTACTACGACTATCGTTCTGACCGGCGGCGGAATCCAACGACAGAGGGAAGTTGATCTTGGCCTTGGATCCACGAAAGTTGATCGCGGCGGCGTCGTAGGCTCTGGCTGCCGCCTCCGCCGTATCGAAAGTGCCCAACCAGACCCGGGTTTTCGTCCCGGGGTCGCGAATCTCAGCCGCGTAACGACCCCACGGCCTCTTTCTCACTCCCCTGTAATGAACTTCATTGACGGCGTCAACCTTACGCGCCGCCGTGAGCGGCTTAGCAGTTTCGTTCTTCATAACCATGGTGGAAGAATCTTGAAAAACAAATGTAGTGATGGGCGATAACGGTGGGTAGGAAAGAAAGAGAGGTTTTTGGTTGCTTATATAGATGGATTTTAGAGAGAGAAAGTGGGTATGTGTGTGAGAGAGAAAGTGGAGTGTGTGTAGGGTGGTGGGGTCAACGGGTGGTTTGACTGAAGGGAGGCAAAAGGCGCCGCCCAAGCGCCTGAAGAGGAATAAATACAGAAATGAAGGAAAGAAAGGGCTACGTGGCACGCGGTAAAGCTGAATGACAAGCGGCTAAGACGTTGATGTGCCGGCTTTTTTTTTATTTTATTTATTTTTTATTTATGTTTGGGCGGCCGCGTTTTCACTACACATTCTTGATATTGGAATATTACTTAAACCACCCTTATGTTTATGGAATTGTCAGAAATCATCCCTAAACTCTTAGAAATTCTAATAAACTTTTATTTTGTACAATTTATGGCCCGATATTACTTCGATTATGCATTTAATGATATTTTCAGTTGTTCGATAGATTTAAGATGTCAGCTTCCACTATGTCAATTAGATTCACTTTCCGATATTTGTGGTTGAGAATTCATAGTGTTACGTTGTTTGGAATCATTCTTTGATTTCCTTATATTTATAGCATTTTTATTACACACGTTTTTGTCGTTATGTTCGAAGTTTAATTTCAATTTGTTTTTTGTTATTATGATTTTTATTTCGTTTCACTCTTGGTCCTATGAACTAACTTCGTGAAACTAAGGGGTCGTTTACCCAATTGCTTACTTTGTAAGCGGCTAAGCGCTTACCGATAGAAGTTGACACTATGATTTATTTTGATGCGTAAGATTTTAGTATATGAAAACATATCGAATGCAACAATTTAGTGGGTAAATACTTACCTGGGTAAGAGTCGTTATCCTTACTTACCGGGTAAGACTCTCCATCATTCTCATCGCTCTTATCCGGTAAGATTCTTGACCCTTCTCATATTCATCCGATGAAAAAATTTATCTGGCAAGCACTTACCAAGTAAGTGTTTAGTAGGGATGTTCATAAAAATCGTTGGACTGCTCAAACCGGCCGAACCAAGTTAAATCAGACTGTTTTTGGCGGTTTGAGCGGTCTGACGGTCCGATCTGGTTTGAAAAATAGCAAAACCGGATGGTCCGATCCGGTCTGTGATCTAGAACCTTTTTTAGGCGGTTTGGACCAAACCGGCTGCCAAATACATATATATATATATATATATATTTATATTTATCTATTTTAGTAGGAAAAATTTTAAAAAAACCCAATGGACTTTAGTGTTTGGAATGATTAAGTCATTGGACAATTTTTTGGAACAAATAAGTCATTGGACATTCCAAAACATGTTAAATAACTCCTTGGACAATTTTTTGGAACAAATAAGTCTTTGGACAATTTAAAGCATGTTAAATAACTCATTGGACAATTTTTTGGAACAAATAAGTTCTTGAACAATCCAAAACATGTTAAATAACTCCTTGGACTTTTTTAAAACCTGTTGGATATATTCTTATGACTTGTATAACTAGTTAATGTGGAATAATAGTGAAAAAAATCCGAAAAAGAATTACTGATTAAATTTATTTTAATTAAAAATAAAATATATCGCATATGTAATTTTTTAAATTAAAAAAGAGATTTAAAAGATTTAAAAAGAATTACTGATTATATTTATAAAAAATATTATATTATA